GCCTGCTTCTCCCTCTCCCACTCCCCCTGCTTGTGTTCCCTCTCTCACTGTGTCTCTCTCTGTCAAATAAATAAATAAAATCTTTTAAAAAAATACATATAGGAAAATACATATATCATAGGTCAATGAATTTCCATAAGCTAAACATCTAGATAAGCAGCACCCACCTCAAAAAACAAAACATTGCAGCACCCCAGAAGCCTGCCTTCTGCTAACTTTTCAGTTTCTCCCTCCTAACTCAAGTGTATTCAGTGGTCTGGCTTCTAATCACCTAGATTAGTTTTCTCTGTTTTTTGTGCTTTATAGGAATGAATTCACACACTACATATTTTTTTGTGGCTGATTTATTTTGCTCAACATTGTTTCTATGATTTATTCATAGCTGCATATAGTTAGACATTGTTTATTCCCATTGTTGGATAGTATTCCATTGTGTGAGTACACCACAATTATTTATCAATTTTATTCTTGAGGAGCAGTTAGATCATTTCCAGTTGGAGGCTCTTACAGAGAATGCTGCTATAAACAACCAGTAAATGTCTTTTGGTGCAAATATGTATACATTTCTGTTGGGTACATGTTTATGAATGGAATTGCTGGATCATTTGCATATTAGCATCTTTAGTATAAACTATCGCTGAACTTTTATACTATTGGCATAACATTACCAAAATTATGTATTTAAGCAAAACACTGACTCTGGAATCAGACAGTTTTAGTTAAATCTATTTACTTGTTACACATTAAGCATGTTAGTTAACTTCTCCCTATCTTTGGGATGATGGTAATCATAGCTCCTATCCTTATATATTAGTTACATAAATTAGCTCTATCAATGCTAGTTGTTATTATTATTTTGTTATTCATAATTCAGTTTGTCTCAAAATAACAGCTGGTGTGAATATTCACTTTAAACTAGAGAGTGATCCTTGACAAAGAATTTTATTTCTGGGAATTTATACTATAGAAATAGAGACTCAGACAAAGATTGATATGCAAGAATGCTCGCTCACACTAGCGTTATTTATAAAAGCAAAATAAATGGGGGAGAAAACAAATTAAGGCTCAAAATATGATACAGTACTAAGCAGCAATTAAAGATAATGTATCAGAAAAAATATATAGTGACAAAAGTAAATGTTTATTACTTCATAAAAGTGAAAAAGCCAGCATTCAAAATGCTATTACAATTTTGGCTTAAAAAAATGAAAGCTAGAAATGAATACATAAAATGTTTATAGGCAGGCAAACTCTCTGTTTGAAAGACATGAAAATTTAGGAGTATGGGAGCATATGGGCAAATGCATCATATATTGTAATAGTAAAGATTTGCATGAATTTATTCTTTTTTCTGGAGCAGTGATTGCTTTATAGCCCTTTTGAACTACTGAATAATTAAGTTAATATCTTTGATAATGGAATAGAAAACAAACAAACTCATTTTGTGCCCTTAAAAGCTACAAGATTGAGATGAGAGTTAATCTCATGGATATTTAAAAGATTTTATTTATTTATTTGAGACAGAGAGAATGAGAGAGACATAGAGCACATGAGAGGAGGGAGGGTCAGAGGGAGAAGCAGACTCCCCGCTGAGCAGGGAGCCCAATGTGGGACTCGATCCCGGGACTCCAGGATCATGACCTGAGCCGAAGGCAGTCGCTTAACTGAGCCACCCAGGCGCCCAATCTCATGGATATTTAAAAACCTCTTTTGGTGCACATCACGTACCAAAGTGGGATGAGATTGAGGAGCCAGCAGCATTTGGGACTATCCAATCATAATTCTAATTGGCCTTAATAAGTGATCAATAAGCATGTAAATGAAACACAAGGTCTTGGCTGTGTGTGAAAGTATCTGAGCCGGAGGGAGGCTCAAACGATGTAATGGATGAACAGTGTAGTATTATAGTTAAAATGCAAACACAGTTCCAAGATGTCACTGCCAACCATTTCATTATCCTTTTTTCTTTTTGATTTACCCCTGCAGGTAACGGTGCCAAAGTAAATTTTTTTTTTTTTTTGAATACTCACTACTACATCAGTGCTACTCAAAGAGCTTATCTGTGGACTGGTTGTTTCCAGTCAGCAATTGCATAAAGAGCTTGAGTCAAAACATAAATCAATTCATTACTTCTTTAGAGAAAATTTTTGCTGTTAAAAAAAGAAGAAGTAGTCAGCTGAACTTATCAGGCATGCTTAGTGGTGTAGTTGTTTTACATCCTGGTGCAAGCTCTTTATCTTGTTGCAAACCTGCAAAAATTTTAATAGTGATCACACCAAACTCTTACTAGTACTGCATTCAGTCTTACCACTGCAACTCTCCAAAATCTTTTCATGACAGTGAGTCATGGAGCCCAAATCCTAATTATGACCTGCAAGACAAACATGACTTGATCCCTGCTTATCTCCCAAATTCATCTTGCCCTCATTCTCCAAGTTCCAGCCACACTGTTCTCTTATTTCTTGAATTCTCCAACTCATGTCCAGTACTTTTCTTCCCTTGACCTCAGAAACTTCTCCCATTTTGTCACATGACTAGTTCTTTTTTATCAATTTGGTGTCAGCTTAAAGGTCACATCCTCAGAATGGACCACCCTAAACACCCAACCAGAGCTAGTCTTCCTGGGTTGTTTACTCTCTATCACTCACAGTACAGAGCATTCTGTGGAATCATCCTTTTATATATTTATTCATTGTCAGTCTCCTTCACACCCCCATCATTAACATAAGACCTACTTTGCCTTATTCTTCATAAGGCAGTATCCTCAGTCCCCAGAAGCAGACTTGGTTGCCACAAATAAATATTGGAATAAGTTATGAATATGTGACTCAATGAAGAAATGTTTGATTTTGTTAGAACCCATATTATCATAAACATTGGTACATAAACCAACTTTCAAAGGCAGAACTTGAACTTTCATACTTCCCTTGTTAAATAAATATTCTGAGCTATTTTATTAATTTGTGTAGGGCTAAACACTGCTTTAATGGTACTTTTACATAATTATGTGAATATTTTATTATATTATGTCTATTTTCATTTAAAGATACGCATAAGTGGAAAAAATGTGAAATGTTTTGCCCATTAAAAAGTGGGACAAAGATCAAAAATTATATGACACATGATTAGCTTAAATGGTCATTTAATTCAAACTAGAGGACTAAGGGTGCCTGGGTGGCTCAGTAGGGCTTCAGCTCAGGTCATGATCTCGGGTCCTGGGATTGAGCCCCTGTCAGGCTCCCCGCTCAGTGAAGAGTCTGCTTCTCCCTCTCCCTCTACCCCTGCCTCCACTCATGCTCTCCCTCTCTCTCTCTCTTTCAAATAAATAAAATCTTTTAAAAAATAAAATAAAATAAACCAGATGACTATATTCAAAAATGAAGGAAAATTTTTTTTCATGTTTATGAAACTTTATAGACAATTATGTATATAAACAATGAAGAAAGTAGTGATTTTGTAATATTTTACTTTTTTCCTAGAATAGTTTTCACTTAGCTATTTAATACTTCCATATATTTTCAGTAGTATAATGTATAAATGTAGAAGACTATTACTTGGTTTTTAACTTATTAATGAAAATGAAGACTCTTTCATCACAGTACACGTAACAGAATCTCATCTTGCTTTTCATGCCTAAGCTGGTCTCTGAACACTTAAGAGATATACCAAAGCAGTTTAAAAAAAAAAAAAAAAAAAGGAAGCTTGACAATGAAGAAGGAAAGAATGTAACTGTTTTCACAGTGCAGTTTTCTAAAAAGTATATATACAGTCTATAAAATATAGAAATAAAACTGCCAATATTTTACATTATCCAGAAGAAATCTGACCCATCCCAAAATTTTAACTTGATAACTGTAATTCATAAAAAAATACTGTGCATTTAGATATTTGAGAAAACTTTGAAATGTAAGCATACCTTCTTCAATAGGCTCATACTTTTGAATGATCTCAAAAGCAATATTTGTGGTCATGTCAAGTGCATACTGTTCTTGTATCAAAAATTGAAGCAGGTTTTTTTCAAAAAGAAATCTCTGGTTTCCAGAATATGTGTTGAAAATCTCAATAATTTCTTCTCTGTGTGCAATAATTCGATAAATTGATCTAAATTCTTCTATGGTGATTCTTCCTTGCTTCAGCCTGTCATTATCCTACTAAAAAAAAATGACTGGTGGGCTCACATTGTGAATATAAAAAATACACAAAATAAATAGTTTATAGAGTATTTGTGTAATATATATAACAACTAATACTTGAAAGAAGATGAATCTTACATTGGATTCTTATCTCAAATAAAATATATAGAACTGCATGAAATGATGCTGAAGTTGGAAAAAGGTAAGTGGAAAATACCACTTAAAACCCAGTGGCCAAAGATGTCCATCGACAGATGAATGGATAAAGAAGATGTGGTATATATATACAATGGAATATTATGCAGCCATCAAAAGGAATGATATCTTGCCATTTGCAACGA